TGCAAAGTCCTCCCTCTCACAGGCCTGGTTTTCTTCGACACGGTGGACGGGAGGAAGAAAACTGAGACAACACAGACTCAACTAAATATCACATGGCCTGAGTTGGACTTCTTGTTCCCGGACATCGTTTTCAACGTCCCCTTTAGGTAATTTTCTAACCGTTACAAGGATATAACCAGCAGCACATTTTTAACTTCTGCGATACCTATTTACTGCTAGGTGAACAGAGGCATCAGATGATAGGGAAAAGTTGCCCATATGCTTAAACTCCTACCACAGGGATTTAACCCAAATGTTTCGGATGCAACAAGACTGCGCTTACGAGTGCTCCGCAACGTTTCGAAGTCTGAGCCATATAAGATATTTCCAAAATGTTCAGCCATGGTGAGTGCAAAAACCTTCTTCATTATAGACCGCCTTCATCAATATATTACAATCGTACAGGTAGTTCAGTCGGGTTCGTTCACGACTCCGGGTTCGAATCTCGGCCGGAACAGAAATTGTTGGGCACATTTCCTATCACCTAATGCCCCTGTCCACCTAGCAGTAAGTAGGTGCCCAGAAGGAGTACCCAAGCGTGTGAAATGCCTGGACTGGGAGCGCCCGGCCCTCAACACCAGCCAAACAATGGCGGAATTACCATACAAACGCAGGTAAACTTTAAAGTTTTATGTGTCGGCAGAAAGGCAGCGGCCTAAACGTTATTGTGAATCCTTTTCAAGGTCAATATCTTCAGTGAGAGCAAAGGTACACCTGTTTAAATGAAGAATACCTGAGCGTCGCCGGTCCTCGGCCGAGTGGTCTAAATATTGATAGTGTTACGTTTGCAAAATAGTTCATTTGCCGCTTTTCTTACCAGTTATTTTAATTGTTAATTACGTTGACTACATTACCACCAATTTAATATTGAGGCTTTCTCATATATTAATTTGTTTAAATAATATTGGGATACAAGTAATTTGTCTTGTTTACCCCTGAATATTATATTCTGCAGTGATCAGTTGTCCTGTCCTTCAGTGTGTGAAGAGGACTCGTCTCGAGGGAGTCATTTGCGTCTCTTAATTACAAGTCTTTACTAATGCATAAATCCATGTTTCGTGTTTTTGCAAAAGTGCATCAGATTGCATTGTAATGGCTAGATGTTAAACCTAAGGACCGGACCGCTCTCAATAATGACGTTTCTCCAAAGTACCTGATTGGAACCCAACTGAGACGTATTCGAATTTCAGAGAACTTTCAGACATTTCAGGTCTCGAACCGACTGAGGTCTGAGGTCTCTGGTGGGCGGTTAAAGGATGGTGTTCCACTTCTGAGACCTGTGTTCGACTGCAGCCCGTTTTCATCAACAAATGCCAAATGATTAATACAGCCGCCAAATCCTCTGTTTATGAATGAAAAGCAGTTTACCCACGACTCACAACTGATGACGTTCGAACATATCTCGAACAGTGCTTTGCTGACGACTTCTGTTCGGATCGCATTTCTCCTACGCACTTCTAATACTAAGCAATCGCTAACAGACCCTGAACACCTAACCTAACCTGCGCCTGACTGTATGCCAAATGATTAATGTATACTATGTAAAACATAGTATACAGTATATAAATGAAACCAAACCAATTGTTAATACACAAAATGTAAACATTGATGAATGTGTCTTGGGAAATGGCCGCTGCTTCAACGAACCTAGCCTGAGGATGAGTTCTCCAAGTGACAAGCTATCGCTCATGCTAGCTGGAGGGTACATCACAACGATGCATAACAATGAAGACATTTTAAGGAAAACAAACACTAATAAGTGATGAAGAAAAACGAGATTTACGGTGTATTAAAGAACTTTATTACATACTTAATATCTGGTTTAAGTGGCATTTAATGTACGCAGTGCCAGTGTAACTATTTACACCTAATAAAACTATGCTCTGATATGTACAGAGTGATGGCGGGCTGCCTTCAGAACAACCATCACCTCCCTACAACTCGTCTTGAGTTACTAAGTGCCTAAGCATTTGTATACTACAAAAGATAATGAGAACACACACACACACGTGTGTGTGTGTGTGTGTGTGTGTGTGTGTGTGTGTGTGTGTGTGTGTGTGTGTGTGTGTGTGTGTGTGTGTGTGTGTGTGTGTGTGTGTGTGTGTGTGTGCGTGTGTGTGTGAGTGAGTGTATAAATTGTCAACCATACTACTGTAGGTATTAACATTTCATTCGATTGGGCACTCCGTGTCTCGAACCACCGACCCCAAGAGAAGGAGACATCAACTCTATCACGGACAGCCTTCCTTATTAAGGCTGTCCGTGGCACAGTTGATAGAGCTTCTGTCTCAGGTTACTGAGGTCGGTGGTTCGAGACACCTATAGTACCCAGGTGAATGAAATATATAAGGAAATTCCTGTCTTAATCCTTCCTTCGTGGTCTGACATTGTTATCCCTTGTTATTGAGTAGAATTTTAAAGCTTTTAAGTTGAGCTGAGTTACTGGTCTACGTTCAAGTATATGTACAAATGATAAAGTTTCAGAGCCGGATGTATACTCTTCCGAGGGCAGCAGCGGACAGATAAACACATGTGTCTTTACTCCACCCCACAGAAGGGCCAGGAGGACAGACACATATGTCTAAGCTTCGCCAAAACCTGGCCAAAAGGACACATGTGTCTGGGCTTCAACAACAGCGGCCCTGATAGAAGCGTAGCTAAGTTCCACAGACAGAGGTTACATATTTTGGGACCATTAATCTGTTTGAACCACATTAAGGTATCTGAAGCCGGTACTGACGTCTCCTACAACAGTCTGTCCTCATAAACAAAGTCCATTCAACCCGTCCTCAGTCTATTTTCATTCCATCCAGCGGTCGACCCCAAAGATGCATTCATTAACGTTAACATGCTGTTCATTCAAAATAGGAATTTTCTCAAATATAAATTAATATGGTTATATATTAGCACATTGTGCATATTTAGGCATTGGTTGGGTTAGGTGTTTAGGTTCTGTTGGCGATTATTTGCATTTGTAGTACGTGGGTGAAGCATTTACAGCGTTGTGGTTCGGACTAAAGTCGACAGCGAAGCGCTGTTCGAAAAAGTTCGAACTTTATCAGTTGTGTGTCGCGTGTAAACCGTTTCCTCATTTATGAAACAGGGGGGTTTGGCGGGTGCATGGAATCCCATTTGGCCTTTGTTTATGAAAACGGGCTGGTCCATTCCATGCAGCCGCCAACTCCCCCCACCCTGTTTATTTTATTCGACTTTTGTTCGAACCACAATGCTGTAAATGCTTCACCCACGTACTACAAATACAAATAATCGCCAACAGAACCTACACACTTAACCCAACCAATGCCTAAATATGCACAGTATGCTAATATATAACAATATTAATTTATATTTGAGAAAATTCCTACTTTGAATGAAGAGCATGTTAACATTAATGAATGCGTCTTCGGGATCGACCGCTGGATGGAATGGACTTGGTCTGAGAGCGACTTGCCCACACCACTTGAGATCGTATATAATATCTGCATAAATTCAAATTTCGACTCTTCGTGAAGGTCAAATAAAGCAACAACATGGATATAATCATTACTCATCCAATGACTCAAAGCCCTAGGGAGTAATTATGATTTTTTAATGGTAACTGAACTATCCAAAATGTAACTACATACTAATCCCACACTTGTGCAAGTAAAGGAAATTGATGACTTTTCAGCCCGTTCTTGAGCCCTATCAAGTCGGATCGAAACGCTGTCGATTTATTTTCCTTCAATATGTGTGAGTTGAGTGCCTAATATTTAGCCCCGGTGTTGTGACTTATATTCTACACTTATTCTCAAGACAATCGACTTGGGAATGGTCCAGGACGGACCGAAACGTCGTCGTCCCTTCACCTTCTAGTGTGTGGCCTGGTCAACATATTTTAGCCACGTTATTGTGACTCATCGCCTACATTCTACACTTAAATAAATATTTCGCATTATCTATACAATTTTAAATTATCAATAACAAATACGTGAGTCATATAGGTCTGAATTACTAGTTAAGGACCAGTAATTAGTCTTGACATCAGCTCGAAGTTTTTTGTTACAATGTAGAGACATTGTTATATCTGTGAGAAGACTTTGCTATTACTAATGTAGAGACAGTTACGATTCTACCACCCCCCCTCATATCTAACAAGGTCATTATTGACATTCTAGGTCATGACCTCTCATGAGGTCATTCCTTCAAAATATTTCACTTTAGCACTAAATCATCAAGTCATCTTAGTTTGGTCAAGTTGATCAAAATGACGGTATTATGTAGAGTAATTAAAATCTGGACGAATTTCTTAAAATACAACATTATAAAAATACAATTAGATCAAATATATATATTCAATTTATGTTACTAATAGATCACTACAGTATAGATATATTACAAAACATGACATGATATATATTTTGTTTAAAAACTGTCATACTCAAAAACTTTTAAATAAATAATAATACAAACGATAATTATCATAATACATTTTATTGGCCAGACATCACCTAATTATATATATATATATATATATATATATATATATATATATATATATATATATATATATATATATATATATATATATACACATGCATATATTTACACATACGTATATGTGAAGTGCTTCTTCACCTCACCACACCACCTTCACCTCATCCTCAGGCACATACTATGCACCAAGACAATTTGTAAATCCTTCCAGCTCTGCCTTTGACAATGTTAACAAGAGTTAACAAAACGCACCTCTTAGCATAAGGCTAAATAAAACTGTGACAATGAACTGTGGAGCATTAATTTTTCAACTTCTTTCCTTCCTTCTCAAGTGAAGAAAAATGTAAGGAAAATTCGTGCTAGAATCATTGATCTCACTCTTTCGGTCACATTAAATAATGATTATATATATATATATATATATATATATATATATATATATATATATATATATATATATATATATATATATATATATATATATATATATATATTAAGCTTATACAAATGGCAAAGAAACAGAGAAATTAATAAATCAATTATGGCCCAACAAATACATACAATATTAGGAACGTCAGAACAAAATAAATTAGTTACAAAGGTGGTGTATATTACAGAGATAGCGAACACAAAGCAGTGTAAGCCCTGCTGACGCTAACAATCACCTGTCTCTCTCTTAACTACTTGGATAATTTGCGTCAATTAACCAAAGGTCGTTATTAACGAAGCTGCCTAGTTCCGGTGCTACGCGAACGGCCTAAGAACGAAATCGAACAGGAGAGTGTTCGATTCTGAATAGAAGTTTAAGATTTGTTTAGACTCAGACAATCTCATCTCCCTGGAGCGAGTGTCGATGTATTAGTGGGCTTCGTCCTCTCCTTAATTCTCCGGAATCTGCGTCTTCTCCTGTCTTTGCGTCGTCTGTTTCTCAAGCGCGCCTCCTTGTGCTTCCTTCTCCTGTGTCTCTCCTTCTTCTTGTTCTTCTCCTTCTCGCGTTTCCTCTTTCTCTTCTTCCTGGGCGGCTTGAGGGTGGTGGTGGCGTTGGGTGAGGGAGGCGTCGGTGTGGCCACCCGCGGCCAGGTTGTGTTCCCCACCACTATCTCATTCTCCGCCAAGTCTGCAATAACGGTACATCAGTGTTAGTACGGATATATGGTACGCCGTCACGGTTCGCATTGTAACATATAGATTAACGAAGTTAATATATGTTACAATTAATCATATATATTAACGAAGATGCCTAGTCTTTGTAAACCACGAAGATTAACACGTGATGAAAAATGTGACAGTGTCAGACCACGGAGGAAGAATTGAAACAGGAATTTCCTTAAGTACTTTCGTATATTAATACTATTAATACATCTTCAGAAGGGATTCTCTGAAGATGTATTAATATATGAAAGTACTTAAGGAAATTCCTGCTTCAATTCTTCCTCCGTGGTCTGACACTGTCATATATATATATATATATATATATATATATATATATATATATATATATATATATATATATATATATATAATATATTATTTCTAAGTAAATTAGGATTATTTAAATATTTGAAAACACAAATAAGAAATATTCATGTATATAATTTTCAATTACATACTTAAATGATCCATTAAATAAAATATTTTCGGAAATAAATACCTCAGACATAAAAAGAATAAACATCAAATGAGAATTCTCAATAGCTATGAAAGGTGTTTGTCTGTCCAGAGGGTTACAAAGGCTAGACACTTGGCCTAGCCTCACCCATCCTTGCCCGGTGAATGGAGGTGAGCAACACTGACGGGTCAGGGTCGACACTATTGATTATAATAATAGGTGGCTGACTCGCATGGCGACCCCTAAGTTGTTGGTGGCAAGTCGGCCAGTAAAAAGATAAATTAAAATAAAACATTATTTTGACTTTCTATATCATAAAACATTATACACTAATCTCATGAAAATTAAACAAATAACTCTACTCACTATAGTCAGCCCATAGTAAGGTGAAATTTTGTTTAATGTATTAATGGAAAAAAAAGAGAGACGGAATGCCTACAGGGAATGTGTGTTTCAATTTATTATCGTTATTTTTCATTCTGTATCTATGATTTTTTTCCGTGAAATGGTGATAGATAAACCATTTAGTATGAACATAAAATAAACGTGGGCAAAATATAGTTTATTATAAGCTGAAACGTAGGGAAGAAAGGAAAGTTATATTTTGTGGAATTTATTTCCAATTCATCGATGAAATTTATCATAAATACTTCACTCGCTTGCCAAAGGGAGAGCAGATAGTGGAAATAATCTGGAGCCGGGACCACCAGCAGAGAGTCAAGCTCAGACCACTTGAACTATTAGAATAGTGATAGAGTACTCACCTAATTGTGCTTGCGGGGTTTGAGCTTTAGCTCTTTGGTCCCGCCTCTCAACTGTCAATCAACTGGTGTACAGGTTCCTGAGCCTATTGGGCTCTATCATATCTACATTTGAAACTGTGTATGGAGTCAGCCTCCACCACAACACTTCCTAGTGCATTCCGTATATTAACTACTCTGACACTAAAAAAATTCTTTCTAACGTCTCTGTGGCATCACTATCACAGTGTAGTGATAGTGATGGAACACTTGGACCACTAGCTCAAACCACTTGGTTGGACCATTATCTAATACAACCTGTCTGACTGATAGGAAGACCAGTACCATGATACCGCCAGAGTCTGGCTGACAGGAAGACTACCGCCATGATGCTTGAGCCGACGGGGATCACACCAGCAACATGTGAATAACATTTACATAAATTAAAGGAAATTCTAACAAACAGGTTCAAGGAGGTTGTTATAAACAAGCCTCCGGACGACACCGTCTTGCTCAGACTATCCCGGAGGATGGTGGGGGGGGGGGGGGTGTCTCACGTGATGGGGGGACAGTAGCATGATTGGGTGAATAAAGGGGGAAATGGGACTGTTAATGGGCGAGATGTGTGTGGTTCATCGTTGGTGATTGGGCTGAGGTGAAGAGGCTAGGGGTGGGGGGAGAGGGGGGCATGTCTGCAGGAGACATGTCTGCAGGAGACATGTCTGGAGGCAGGAGATGACTTACTGTGTCTGTGGAGGAGCAGCAGCAGAACACAGGTTCTGTGGTTCACGTGGTTCTATCCTCATGTTAGTTCCTTATACTCCTACTTCCACCAGATGAATAATTGTGCTATGAAATGCCTCAAACATCGATACATTTAAAGAACCTAATCTTATAAAATACAGCTTAAAGCTTAGTTAGTTTATAAGTCTGTGTGTTTATAAAGATCAGTTAATATATGAGAGGAAGTAAATATATAAAAAGCAGTACGATTATAAAAGTCAATTAGTTGATAAAAGTCTATGTTTAGAGGAGTCAGCAAATTGATGAAGGTGAGTAGAGAGCTTGAGAGGTCGACGACTGAGACGAGGAACGTAGACGCCACACACCAATATGAGAAAATGAGAAAGAGGAGAATATTGTAACTGATAAGAGCAATAGGTTAGAGGGCGGGCGGAGCCACAAACGCGGCCCGGCGTTGTGGTAATTAATTGATCCTTGGAGATTGTTGTGTTGGGGTCCACCTCCTCCTCCTCACGCAACACACACACTTTCCTCTCACGCAACACACACACTTTCTTCTCACGTAACACACACACACACACACACACACACACACACACACACACACACACACACACACACACACACACACACACACACACACACACACACACACACACACGGCGGGATCCAAGAGTCAATGCTCGATCCTGCAAGCACAAATAGGTGAGTACACACACACACACACACACACACACTTTCTCCTCACGCAATACACACATACACTTTCTCGTCACGCAACACACACTCACTTTCTCGTCACGCAACACACACTCACTTTCTCCTCACGCAACACACACTCACTTTCTCCTCACGCAACACACACTCACTTTCTCCTCACGCAACACACACACTTTCTCCTCACGCAACACACTATTTCTCTCTCCTCACGCAACACACACTCACTCTCTCCTCACGCAACACACACACTACTGTCTTGCAACACAGGTACCTATAAACAACATATGGTCAGCAGCATAATCAACACTAGTGAAAGACAAAACATTATTCAAGAACCTAAACAAGAAGGCCTTTAGGTCGCTGTACACCGCCAGGTGAGGCCAGTTTTAGAGTACACCGCACCATCTTGGAGCCCCATCTTAAAAAAAAAAAACACTTAAGGAAGCTCGAAAATGTTCAAAAGTTTGCCACGAGAATCGTCACAGAATTGCTCGGGATGAGGTACGAAGACAGACTGAAGAAACTAACCCTGACAACGCTAAAAAGGAGGAGAGGGGAGACATGATAGAGACATATAAAATACATAAGGGATTGACAGAGTGGAAAAAGACAAAATGATCGCAATGCATACCAACAGAACAAGAGAGGAAGGGATGGCAGCGTGAGACTCATGGAACCCTTATAGATCGTAGAAAGTTTTCTTTCAGTATAAGAATAGAGGGAATAGAATGATACGAAGTAGGAATAGTATAGGAATCATTTAATTAGACCAGAAAAGCGGAGCTCAAGAGTTAGTGCCCGATCTTGCAGGCAAAAATAGGTGAGTACAAATGGGTGAGTACACACACACACACAGCCACACAACACACACCAGTTGATTGACGGTTGAGAGGAGGGACCAAAGAGCCAGAGCTCAACCCCCGAAAGAACAAATAGGTGAGTACACACACACACACACACACACACACACACACACACACACACACACACACACACACACACACACACACACACACACACACACACACACATACAACGAGACAACGACAACGAGTCAGTGTGAGGGGTGAGGTCTCAGATTGGCGAGACGTTACGAGTGGAGTACCGCAGGGGTCGGTCCTTGGACCTATACTGTTTCTGATATATGTAAATGATCTCCCAGAGGGTATAGAATCGTTTCTCTCAATGTTTGCCGATGATGCAAAAATTATGAGGAGGATTGAAACTGAGGACGATAGTAAGAGGCTACAAGATGACCTAGACAGACTGAGTGAATGGTCCAACAAATGGCAGTTGAAGTTCAACCCGAGTAAATGCAAAGTAATGAAAATAGGCAGTGAAAATAGGAGGCCAGATACAGGATACAGAATAGGAGATGAAGTACTTAATGAAACGAACAGAGAGAAAGATCTAGGAGTTGATATCACACCAAACCTGTCTCCTGAAGCCCACATAAAAAGAATAACGTCTGCGGCATATGCGAGGCTGGCTAACATCAGAATAGCGTTCAGGAACCTGTGTAAGGAATCATTCAGAATCTTGTACACCACATATGTAAGACCAATCCTGGAGTATGCGGCCCCAGCATGGAGCCCGTACCTTGTCAAGCACAAGACGAAGCTGGAAAAAGTCCAAAGGTATGCCACTAGACTAGTCCCAGAACTAAGAGGCATGAGTTACGAGGAAAGGCTGCGGGAAATGCATCTTACGACACTGGAAGACAGAAGAGTAAGGGGAGGCATGATTACAACCTACAAAATCCTCAGAGGAATCGACCGGGTAAACAAGGATAAACTATTCAACACTGGTGGGACGCGAACAAGGGGACACAGGTGGAAACTGAGCACCCACATGAGCCACAGAGACGTTAGAAGGAACTTTTTCAGTGTCAGAGTAGTTAACGGATGGAATGCATTAGGCAGTGATGTGGTGGAGGCAGACTCCATACACAGTTTTAAATGTAGATATGATAGAGCCCAGTAGGCTCAGGAATCTGTACACCAGTTGATTGAAGGTTGAGAGGCGGGACCAAAGAGCCAAAGCTCAACCCCCGCAAGCACAAATAGGTGAGTACACACACACACACACACACACACATTTACAAACTAGACAAGAACAGATACGTGACACTGGTGGGACAAGGACAGAGGACCACACAGGCAAACTTTATCTAACTTAAGGAAAACTTTAGTGTCATAGTAGCAAAGAAAATGAAGGAAGTAATGATAAGATGAAGGCAAACTTCACTTACGGACAGGTGCTGGTTCAGGTGTGTAACAGGTACTGGCTCAGGTGTGTAACAGGTGTATCCCGGCCATAATGACGCCCGTTAACCCACCTGGAATTCCTTGCCTCCTCAAGATGCTAATTACTAGCTCCTTTGCAGCCAGAGGCATGAGGAGGGAGGGGAGGGATGGAGGGAGAGATAGAGGGAGGGAGGGATAGAGGGAGACATAGAAAGGCAGCAAGAAAGAAGGCAGCCGGCGGAGTGAGGTGTTGAATGTCTGGTTGATACCTGGTTGATGGGGTTCTGGGAGTTCTACTTCCCAAGCCCGGTCCGAGGCCAGGCTCGACTTGTGAGAGTTTGGTCCACCAGGCTGTTGCTTGGAGCGGCCCGCAGGGCCACATACCCACCACAGCCCGGCTGATCGCTGGAGGAACCTTCCTCACAAGGTCTCTACTAAATTCCTCACTAAACACTCGCTGCCATTCCCTTTTAACTGACAGATGCATAGCGAAATGGTAAGAATGTAGACGGACTGAGCGATAGATATATTCTTAGATAGAAAGATAGATTCATACAGAGGCTTGTCGATAGATAAATAGATAGTAAGATACATGTTGATACGTTAATTATTGCTGAATGTAGGCGAGGGGAAGAGAGACTCATTATGTATGTGATTATTGGTGTAATTACATATGTATACTTACCTAAGTGTAATTACCTGAGTGTAATTACTTAAGTGTAGTTATAGGATGAGACTTACGCTCGTGGTGTCCCGTCTTCCCAGTACTCTTTGTCGTATGACGCTTTGAAACTACTGACGGTTTTGGCCTCCACCACCACCTCACTTAAATTTTTCTACCACTGTGTAAAAAACACACACACACAGTAACACTCAGTAACACACAAACACTGTGTGTTTGTGTGTACAGCAGCAACACAGGTGTAATCAGTCAAACAAGCAGTTGTATTATGACTCTCCATATCACTTGTTTAGTTTTGTTTACACACGGGTGAGGTACAGGATCAGAGGACTCTGGCTCGTGTTCGCAGGCTGAGAGCAATTTCTCTTTTCTCACATAGGTAAGCCTTACCCACTTGCCGCCCCTGGAACGCGACCAGCCGATCGGTTAACAAACAGATACCTAGTTATTGCTGGGTGAATAGAGGCGAATAGTTAAGATATTGGAGCCTATCAATCCCCCTTGACTAGGATACGATCCCATACCAAATCGCTTGGAAGCGTGGGGCGAGTACCTTACCTATAACCACTCTTTCTGCAACACTGTCAGTCACGTATAATATCTCTGTGACACTTCAAGTCATGTATATATAGGGAGACGCTTGGGCAACGTGTCCTCACATCCGATGCCTCCGTTCACCTAGCAGTGAATATGCTCCTGGGAGCCAGGCGACTGTTGTGGGTCGCCTCCAGGGAAAGATTAGACCTAGCCTTAAGGGGATACCTCGATATCCCCCTAACGCTCGTAGAAACCAAGACGGAGCATCCTGGCCTGTAAGAGTGTGTCTACCTAACACCTACATTCTTGCTACCTTCCTCACCGCTTCCCTCCCACTCCAGCACCTGCAACTAGGCCCCCACCCACCATAAATTACACATTAGACATCAATTATACACAAAAACCCTTTAAAGTCCTCCATTAAGGCATTTTCATGATCAATTTTTGCCCCTTTTTTTGGAGGGGCAGTTATGTGTCTCTGGGTTCTTCCACTTTAATTGCTGATAGGACTCTTTTTGTCTTCTAATTGTAACCCAGATGGAAAGGAGGTAGTGGAAGGGATACGTAGTGGAAGAGGGAGGGGTAGAGAGAAAGTGGAGAGGGAGCGATTGTGGAAAGGGTGGTTCCTTCTGGTGAAACTCTTTTTCCCCCTAACTACTTAATGACAATCACTGTAAGTATGATTGTACCTGAGAGGTAAGGTGGGATGGTATCAGTCTTATGACGGTGTGGTACGTTGGAACCATTGAAGGGATGGGAAAGTGAGGTTTCGCAAGCAGTGTGGTTCGCTGGTTCTATTGTTAGGGTCGTATGGATCATTCGTACCATTACCATTCGCTGGTTAGTGAAAATGGTTGACTGTGGTATAACTTTTGGAACAATATAGTGATTGGAATCACTCCATGAGAGGTTTGGTATGTTAAGGGTAGTACTGTGTAGTGTGTTTGTGTGGTTGCTTCGCTTGTTTTGATTAGCTATAGAATATATACAATTTCGTATTCTCTGCTTTTCTCCCTATTCTCACATCTACGTTTCCTTCTGTCTTCTTCTCCTCTTGGTCTCCCTGTTCCTCCTCTGTGTTTCTTTTTTTCTGGCCTCGAAGCCTTGAGTATTAAACCATGGGCTGATATTGTTCTGTGCTCCCTTGTTTTTTTACACAGGTGGGTACAGGAACCGACGACTGCTGACTGCTGTTAGCAGGCTCAGAGCTTCCCCCATTCCATAGCTCATGGTAAGCCTTACCCACTAGTTTCTCTGGAACACGTCCCGCCAATCTTTAATCAACCAGGTACCCAATCACTGCTGGGTGAACAGAGGTGTACAGTTAAGGATTCGTTGTTCTATAGTGTTGAATGAATCCCCTTTCAGCTTCTGAACTTTTGGGGATCATATAGTCTATCATCTCCTGGACAGACGTTTTCTTGAGTTCTCTCAATCCATCCAAACATTTTCTTTTCAGACATAATCTTCTTTCCTGTTTGGTGATTATCTATCCTACTCTCTCAGCTTCCTGGCTATGATATTTATTTAAAATGCGCACTTAAACACCAGTACACAGTGGTCATTGACCCTCAGTGGACTGTCGTTCTGTGTCACAATATCTGCTCATTCTTTGCTGACGACGAGTTTGTTCCTATTATCTATTTATCTTCTACAGTATCTATCATATCAGGTCCAATGCTTGATTTTCTACCTATTTAATTTATTTCCTCAGGATTTAACTCTATGATCAGTAGTATGCAAATTATCCTAAGTCCGTGAACAATTGTTGCCTATGTCTTGTATGACGCATATATTTCTGCTCTATTGGTTTCCTCACATATGCTAGCTGATGGATTGTACGAGAGTGCTATGACTACCTTCCTTCCAGCTCCTGCTATGAGGCATGTGCATATCTCTCTGCATCTCCACTTGTGTCTGTATATTTGTTTGTGTCTGAGACTAACTTCTTCAAAATTTCACTTATGCTGAACCAACAGTGATGCCCCTTTCTTCATTCCACGGTTTTTACTATTATCTAATGGTCTGATTTCTTCAGCGAATCACTTTACCGGTAATCATCTCGGTAAGTTTGGTCATTACCTCAACTATGACATCAGTATCTATATTCCACACGGGGCCTTCTTGTCAGCTCATTTGCTTTGTTGGACATACCAGCGGCATTTGGGTGAGATTGTGACTTGGAATAGAAATCTCAATGGAAGGAATTTAAGATGGGAGAAGAAGAAGAAAGGTAGGAAGTGGAGATATAGGAATAAGAGCACGAAAAGTGGAAGTTGATAACAAGCAGTAAAATATAAAAAAAAGAGACGCAGCAATGAAAGTGGAATTAGGAAGAGAAAGGAGATAAAGATGGAGAGGAAGAAGTGGGTGAAGAGGATATGATCGTGGGATGTGCATGAAGTGGAGACTGAAGAACAAAATGAGGAGGTGACGGAGGAAATAAATGAGACAGAGGAGTATATGGAGAAAGAAGTGGAGGAGACTTTGGAAGGAGGAACCAGCGATGAAGTGGCGGATGTGGAGGAGAGTCAGCCACGTAGGAGAGGACGCAGAGGCAGCAGTACTAGGGGTGTCAATGGAACTTGCTCAGTAGTAATACAAGTGGGAAAATACCTCTAGCAAACGTCTGGTGACTCTGGGTGAGAGAACAGCCTGGCCCGTGGTGTTACAGCTGATCTTGGGGTCTTGGTAAAGGTCTTGGGGTCTTGTTAAAGGTCTAGGGGGGTCTTGAAAAAGGTCTTGAGGTCTACTCTTCTCTCTACCAGTCTGGTGGAATGTCTCGCCTTGATTCCTGATGCTAGAACTGACCTTGCCGGAAATAAAGGTTGGCTTTACAGCCTACTAGTGGCTTGACATTCTCGTGACCTTACCTGGGACAGGGGTGACCTTACCTGGGACAGGGGTGACCTTACCTGGGGCAGGGGTGACCTTACTTGGGACAGGGGTGACCTTACCTGGGACAGAGGTGACCTTACCTGGGGCAGGGGTGACCTTACCTGGCGCAGGGGTGGGCGTAGAGAGACAGAGCCCCTGGGAGCGAGGGCCGAGCAAGGTCCCTGGTGGACAGCGCTTGCGGCAGCGGCCAGCGTGCCTCACCAAGCCGGTCTTGCAGACGGAGCAGTAGTGTCTTGTTGAACACTCGCTGCAACCACGCAACATGCACTCTGTGAATACGAGTTGGCATTACTGTTCTGTTGGCAGGATTAGTGACAGGATAGGAAAGGGTCACAGGCGATCTTAGGTGTTTCAAGGCATGCATGTACATAAACAAGGTTCATTCTTACTATGGAAGGAAGACTCTTTGGACCAAAGACTTGTCTTTGTCTATTTCCCGACAGTCTTTGGACCAAACAGATGCTTCCCCGACACTCCACAGTGGAGGGGATCTGTGGCACTCTGTGGAACAGACTGAGGTCAAGTACTTACCCATCAATGACTACCTGAAGGGTAGCTTCAACAGACAGCTTCAGTGTACCTGTTATAATTTAACTATTTTAACGTTCGAATTCCTTGATGAATCTGGCCTTAAATTTGTGGATGGAGGTGGCTTCCACAACTTATTCTTTCAATGCATTCCACTTCTTGACCACCCGTACAGGGTATGAGTATTTCCTTACATTTCTTCGACTCAAATGTATTTCCAGTTTCCACTTATGTCTTCTCGCCCTAATTTCTTTCCATTTAGAGTGGCTCTTCTTCTCCACCTTCTCTATTCTCCTCAGTATATTTTGTTGTGATCGTGTGCCCTCTGTTCTCTTCTCCAGGGTTGAGGTCCAGTGGTCTTACCGTGGCCTCATAGTTTAACTCTCTGCCACCACTCTTGGTGCAAACCTTTCAACAATTTCATTTCTGGTTGTTTCCTTAACGTGAGGATTTCTGACCGTTGCTGTCTAGTCGTGACGACGACCGAGGAGGTCCTGCCTGGTCGTGTCGGCGACCGAGGAGGTCCTGCCTGGTCGTGTCGGCGACCAAGGAGGTCCTGCCTGGTCGTGTCGGCGACCGAGGAGGTCCTGCCTGGTCGTGTCGACGACACAGGGGGAATCATATAATTATCCAAAGCCTGAGGAAGAAAAAGGGGGTCGCTCGTGTTTCTATTATTATCATTATCCAGGGAACACGACACATTATCCGGGTCCACTGGATAAAAGTGGACCTCCTCCCGTTTATCCACGTCGGGATAAACTGCAGCCCGTGCGCCTATTGCTAACCTTCCTTGCACCAGCACATTGCACTTTTCTACTTGTAAATCCTCTTGAGGCAGTTTATTTATTGTATTCTGTAACCCAGTGTTCTTGCTCCTGTAATCCAGTGTTCTTGCTCCTGTTATCCAGTGTTCTTGCTTCTGTAACCCAGTGTTCTTGCTCCTGTTATCCAGTGTTCTTGCTCCTGTAACCCAGTGTTCTTGCTCCTGTAATCCAGTGTTCTTGCTCCTGTTATCCAGTGTTCTTGCTCCTGTAACCCAGTGTTCTTGCTCCTGTTATCCAGTGTTCTTGCTCCTGTAACCCAGTGTTCTTGCTCCTGTAATCCAGTGTTCTTGCTCCTGTTATCCAGTGTTCTTGCTCCTGTAACCCAGTGTTCTTGCTCCTGTTATCCAGTGTTCTTGCTCCTGTAACCCAGTGTTCTTGCTCCTGTAACCCAGTGTTCTTGCTCCTGTTATCCAGTGTTCTTGCTCCTGTAACCCAGTGTTCTTGCTCCTGTAACGCAGTGTTCTTGCTCCTGTAATCCAGTGTTCTTGCTCCTGTTATCCAGTGTTCTTGCTCCTACCACAAGCAGTAGTATTTTCACTGTTTTGCTCCTCCCATGGAAACATTCCTTGTTCTGTTGTTGTTTTGTGTTGACGTGAGTGTGTGCGTGACGCAACATTCACTTTTGTTTTTCCCTGATTGTTAAGAGATGATCTTGGCTCTGTGACAATTGAAAGTCTATTTAGAGTTGGAAATTATGTGTCACATTAGGGGAGGGGGAGGGGGGTATGTGTCACACTGAGGAGGATCCAAGAACTAAATCTCGATTCTACAAGCATAAAATGGTGAGTAGAAATAGTTGAATACACATACACACACAAATATGTTTGGAAACTTGATTTACGTGGCTAAACTCGCGATTTTAAACACAAATCATTGCTATTACAGCGCTTTTGGGGTTTGAAGAGAGGGTGTATAGGAGGAGAGGAGAAGGGTAAAAGAGGGGAAAGGAAGGAGAAGGAAAGGGAGAGAATAATGACGGTGGAGGAAGGGAAGATAATGGGAAGGAGGAACGAAAGAGGAGTGAAAGGGTTTAGGCGAGTACGGGAGGGGGGAAGATCCTATCGCCTGCATAAATTTTAAGTTTGGTTGATGAATCAGTGGAGGTTGAGGCAGGCTGGAGCAGGCGGCAGCTTGGGTGAGGCGCCGCGCCACTCCTCCCAAAGCGGAGGTCAGACTCGTATTAAACAGCGCCGAGTTAAACATCGACAGGTAATACTTCCACGTCGGGATAAACTGCAGCCTGTGGAGCGCTTAGATATTCCTGATGGTGTGCTCGGTAATGAGGGACGAGCATAATGAGTGCTGGCTGACTGGCTGGCTGGCTGGCTGGCTGGCTGGCTGGCTGGCTGGCTGGCTGGCTGGTTGGTTGGCTGGCTGGCTGGCTGGCTGGCTGGCTTTTTCTGGCAGGGTGGCTGGCTCCATCAATACTTAACCAGGAAATAAAATTATTAACATTAATGCTAATGAGAAAATCCGTAGGAGCCGTGATGAGGGTTCGAACCTATGCGGTGGGTGTACCCACGCACACGCCCTAGCCACTAGACCACGACATGGTATAAGGATTGCAACCTGGAGTTCTACTGAACACACAAGGGCTTTCTGAGGCTTCCACTGAAGGCGGACCAGGATTTTCAGACAGTCCCCCCCCTCCCCCTGCACTCTGGCTCTGTCATCCAGGAGACCTAGATCTCTGTGTCACCTTTGTGTCACCTCTGTGTCACCTTTGACACTACTCTTTCAATATATTTCAATATTATCAAGGCTCCTACGAATATTCTTATTGATACTACACTCGACTAAAGACACACAAGGGATCAAACACCCACACAGTTTACAGCACAGCTAACAACTTACTAGCACAGAATCCTCTCTTCTTGTTCCTCTTGAACTTGTAGAAGCCAACGGGACAGACGCGGGCGCAGGAGGCCGTCTGCCTGGCGCCCTCTCGGTGCAGCAAGAGGAAGTAGGGCGGCTTGCACGCCAGACACCCGTTGATGGGCGTGCACTGTGAGCACCCGTACGGACACCCCGTCTCCAGCACCGTCTCTGTCAACACATGAGTATGTCTTAGGCTCCCGCCACACAATTGTTATAGGGCATAGCTCTGTCTTGTTAAGTGTCTATTGCTGAGAGAGAGAGAGAGAGAGAGAGAGAGAGAGAGAGAGAGAGAGAGAGAGAGAGAGAGAGAGAGAGAGAGAGAGAGAGAGAGAGAGAGAGAGACAAACAGAGAGAGAGACATTGTGTTGGCCATCAAAAGCCTCTAAACTACAAACCAGTTTTGCTCGAATGCATTCTCTCCTAATCATTTGAAGGAGATTAGTGAATCATCCAGAGGGTGGAAGGCTTGCTTGCAAACACGGCTTCACAGACGGCAAGTCCTGCTTAACGAGTCCTATATATGCACTATTACGATAAGTCAAGAGCGAGGAGCGGTGGAGCAGACGAGTTAGGAGAGGCAGTCCATGTCCTAGATTACCAAAAGGTATTTCCTAAAGTTACCGAAATTCGTGTTCAAAGGAGACTAGTGAAAGGTTAGCTTGTAGAGAGCTAAATTGGTTAAGAGAGTATCTATCTGATATGAAACAACGGGTTACGGTGAGAGAACTCTTAGAGTAGACGAAGGTCACAAATGGGGGTTCTCAAGGGTCAGTGCTTAGGTCCAAGAAGAGACCCATAAGGCAGGAGTGTAAATAGGATGCAGCGTGAACCGGATAAGTTCCAGCTATGGGTAGAGAGATGATTACTAAGATTCAACCCAGATAAATGCAAGGTAATAAGAATTAGAACGGAGGGCAAGAAGATGTTTTCATCAGTATGCGAAACGGGCAAATATAAGGATAACATTTAGTAACTAGGTAATGAGGCTTTCAGAGCATTGTAACCAACATACGTGAGACCCATTCTGGTGATTGCAGCGCCAGCGTGGGACTCCCCTTTAAATAAACATTAAACCATGCTACAGTTCAGAAGTGTGCAACGAGATGTGTATCAAGCCTGCGAGGATTGAACTTTGAGCACAGTTTGAGGGAGCTGAAACTCATCACATTTGAAGGGAAACGGGATCAAGGAGACATGATTAAGACATAGATGATTCTAAAAGGAATCAAGTTAGTGCTCGATATTAATTAAATAATTTAGATGAGTACCCACTCACCCACAAGCAGACACACACACACAGACACACACACACACACACACACACACACACACACACACACACACACACACACACACACACACCACACACACACACACACACACACACACACACCATGACGTAACCAACGCCTCTACTCGCTTCTGACATTTAAATCTCAACAAGAGTGACCTCGTGACAATCAGGGTTAAGTGAACTGAATTATAACGACGTTGTAACTAAGAATTACTTTGACAACCCTCAAGAGTCATGATTTCTTGTGATTATTTAAGAGGTAATAAAAGAGACGTGTGTGTGTGTGTGTGTGTGTGTGTGTGTGTGTGTGTGTGTGTGTGTGTGTGTGTGTGTGTGTGTGTGTGTGTGTGTCTACTCACCTAGTTGTGGTTGTAGGGTTGAGTTTCGGCTCTTTGGTCCCGCCTCTCAACCATCAATCTATTGGTGCACAGATTCCTGAGGCACACGTGTGTATGTGTGTGTGTTTTGAGTGTGTTGTTTTGAATACAGAAGTACTAAGAGAAGTAGAGCAGACACAACCCGTAAGAAGCAACAAGCAGACTTGGGGCCTAGAAGATTGAGTAGTCAAGTCACGGAGCCGGACACGGTAAAGGCTGCGACCCTAGATGAGTTCTCCCCCGAGATCCTAAAAGAATGAACGGAAACATTGTGTACACCCTTAACCCCCCCCCCCCTACCTACCAGTAAGAACTACCAGTACGACACTTGTATGTAAGAAAGATGCGAACCACTGAACTATCGACTACCGTCACTCACAGGTATTGTCTTACGGTGTCAGACAGTGTGTTAGACGGTGTCGTCCTCGAGTGTCAGAGAACGTCATCTAACAGTGCCAGACAGCGTTAAATTAGAGTGTTAGACGACATCATCTTAGAGTATCAAACTGCGTTGTCCTGGACTGTTGAATTACGATTTATTATTCGAAAGAAAACGTTGTGAGGAGCCTAGTGGTATAATATAGGAAAAAAATATAATAGTTTACCAATGGCTTTGAGACATGGCCCAGACTTATGAAAGCCTTACAAGCTGTGGAAGGATCATATGTTTTACACGACTACGGGTAAAGTATGATGATTAGACAAACGCTGTTAATTTTCCTGAGATCAGTGCATAATTTTTAATATTACTATAAGGAAAAAAACTGTTTTACATTGGTAATTATAAAAAAAATTACCGGACGTAGCTTGCGGGCATTGCCAATACCAGCCGCGTGGGATAGTATATGACTGGCACGCCGCTCCCTATTGAATTCTGGTGACCCCGATCAGACTATGTCCGTCTCGGACCCCAGACCATTCACCCTGCAAAGTTGGGTGAGGCTAGCCCCAAGCGTCTGGCCTCCAACCTTGGACAAGCATTCTTTTCTATAAATATAGACTGAATATACTACTAACATCGCAGTAAGAATCTCAGACTTAAATTACATTAAGAGTAATTAAATTACGATATATATATATATATATATATATATTATATATATATATATATATATATATATATATATATATATATATATATTGTAGACAGAGAGAGGGACAGGTAGACAGACAGTAGCTTCTCGGACACTAAGCACACATTCCAATGCCCGGCCGAGGCGGAAACAATGGGCAGTTTCTTTCACCCTGATGCTTCTGTTCACCTAGCAGTAAATAGGTACCTGAGAGTTAGACCGCTGTTACGGGCTGCTTCCTGGGGGGGGGGGTGTTTGTGTTAGAGAGAAACATATGTAGAAGATATGATAGAGGAAAATAAGTCAGCACATCCGATGGTTAAAAAGGCGGGTCCAAGAGCTCGATCCTACACACACACACACACACACACACACACACACACCTTACCTACCAATGACAAAATTGAATTGTAAAAATGTAAAATATCCTCCGTAGCAAATCTGTGGCCCGGTCGGCAAGCAAAGTGTCAAGCCACAGTGGCGCATAAGGTTGGCTGTCTGATAAATAGCCGGGGAAAAAACTTGCCTTGTTGGCGTGTGGGTCTGGAGCGTTGTGTGGCCGTGCACAGAGTTCAATTAAGAATGTATATACACACAAGTCTGGGTGTCCCCCACTCCCAGTCCAGGCTGGTGACATACCTCCTTCTTCCTCCCACATTCATCTCTCTCTCTCTCTCTCTCTCTCTCTCTCTCTCTCTCTCTCTCTCTCTCTCTCTCTCTCTCTCTCTCTCTCTCCCTTCTCTCCTGCCTTGCTTCTGGTCCCTCTCTTTCTCTACGTTTCTCTTCTCTCTCTATTTACACATCTTCACTCTGCGACTCGAGGCCTCCTTCCTCGCTTTGTTTAAATGGATATCAACCTGTCATCTTTATCTTAACCGGATATCTTCCCGTCGTCTTCTACTTTAACCGGATATTTTCTCGACCTCTTTCTCTTAACCGGACACCTCGTCCGCTCTTCCTTAGAAGGTTTTCTTTTCCCCTTCCCATTCTTATATAGACCACGCTGCTTCAACTCTTGAAGCTGTGTGCCTCACTATTCAGAGCCTTGAAGCTGTGTACCTCACTAGTCCGTGATTTTTGCATGCTGGAAGTGTTTTACGAGGCCCTCAAGCGGTGAAGGTGTTCTTCCTGGTCAAAACATTTGAAGAAAATCTCTGCCTAGTGCCTGAGACGTCTTGTTCGAGAACGAGGCCTCGTTCTTGAAGCCTCGTACAAGAATCTATCTGGTCCTTGAGACCTGAAGTAATACTTCTACATCCTGATATCAGTTCTTAAGTTCAAGTGGAGAATTCAGACTCCTTAAAGTTATGAGTAATCTACCTTCTAATAATAGTAATCTAATCTGGGGCCTCGTAGCCTGGTGGATAGCGCGCAGGACCGTAATTCCTGTGGCGCGGGTTCGATTCCCGCACGAGGCAGAAACAAATGGGCAAAGTTTCTTTCACCCTGAATGCCCCTGTTACCTAGCAGTAAATAGGTACCTGGTGTTAAGTCAGCTGTCACGGGCTGCTTCCTGGGGTGGAGGCCTGGTCGAGGACCGGGGCCGCCGGGACACTAAAGCCCCGAAATTATCTCAAGATAACCTTGCATTCGAGGACTGGAGAACTCTACCAGGTCCTGGAAAGAGTCTACCGAATCCTCAGGAACTCGAAGAATCTACCGCGTCTTCGAACAATATCTACACAAAAACACACACACAAACCTTTTCCTAGAGTATCGCCGTAGGTAATAATCAAACACAAATCCTCCCAGCATACATATAATTTTGTCAGGAAATAACTGTGATTTTCCAGTAAAAGTATCGAACCCTTTGTGCCAAACACTCGCATAAATTCGTGGAATATTATGCTCTCCGCCAGCAGGTGTCCACAGAGAATAATACTACACACAAACAAACAAAAATCATATTCAAAAATTCCTTGTATAATATTTGTCATTATTGAGTTTCTCGATACAAACAAAAATAAAAATCCAATGTGTATGTTGTATTATTCCTGTTTGAAAATATAGTTTTAATGTATGTTGTTATTTAATCTTTATTAATTGTTTTGTTTTTTACATGTAGATTATAGAGAAAACATTTGTTGAAATATATAATTTAGCGAGAACTCAGGAAACGATGATAAGCCACTGTTTGTTTGTTTGTTTGTTTCAAGTTCTTTCTCTTGATTCTTATCATAGAATAGCTCTAGGCTTAAGGCTGAAGTCTTCCCCTCATGGTATAGTTTTAGGCCTAAGGCTAATGTATTTCTAATAAAATAACTCTGGGCCCTAAGACTGAAGTCTCCTTCAGAGCATAACTTTAGGCCTAAGACTGGAAACTTTACACATTTGAATAAGATTGGCCAATGTTAAGAGCTGAGTTATGTAAAAGGTTGGATCTCATTGCCAACACCTGTGTCCAAATATCTGCTAACACCTGTC